TACAGTCCTACTTCAGTGTCTGAGTTTGCTTACACATTTCTGTTCAGTATTTTCTCACTACTATACGACAGTGTAAAGTGAACAAGGAGATAGGGATTTTCCTTTGATTATTCAGCTTTTTCCATTAGTTAAAACATTGAGTTATACATATTATTACTTAAATTTAATAAAAGAAAATCAGTTCAGCTTTTGAAATAGTTGTTTTAATGAACTTTGAGCCAACTAAACAGGTCATTCTTTTTAAGTTTTCTGATTTCGGTCCAACTCCAATCACATAAAAATGCTCTCTAAGCATTGTTTAATAGGAACACTGCATTTCTTAGAACTGAAACAGAAAAAAAGGACATTTACTTCAGGACATTTATTACTTCAGGACCATTATTATAAATATAAAATTACAATCTTTTTTTACATGACAATTGAGCTGACAAAGACGTTCTCTCTCACCTTTTAATTTACAGAATGGAAAAGAAAAAGTAACAGCCATGATATCCTTCCTAACATCTCCTTTTGTAAGTCTATTGCACATGACAGCATTGTTGGTTTTAAGTTTTGTGAAAGTTTCCCAAACCTTGCTAGTTCGGATTTGTTTGCACTCTGTCATAATTTGCGCTGTTTTTTTCTTTTACCATAAGAGCATTTGTAAAGGGCTGCATTACACTCTAGCCCTGTAGAGGTCAAATCGTGATATTGCACACCCTTACATTAGGTCAAGTGAGATCAAACGACTACTCGACAACAACGATATTTGTTGACAATTTTTTATTGTCGAAAATGTCGACTAATCATTTCAGCCCTAATAGCAAGATCCATGTTCAATCAATACCAACACATTTATAAGGGCACCTTTATATGTATGCGATTTTTGTGTACTTGTGGTTTCAGCTGTTCTGACATTTACCATAAATTTTGAGTAAATTTCACAAAAGTTTAATGAATCAAGATTTCACACACAAATTCATGCGTACACACTGGTGCCTAACGAGGCTCGCTGAACACGTGAGGCACTCAGGCAGGAGTAAACAAGGTCAGGCAGGTTGAGATTTTTGAATTATACCTGGCATAGGTGCGGCACTGGAGAAACTGGGCATCAGGGGTGTCTGAGGGGTGCGGCCAGCGTGGCCCCGTGTGATGTCATATCCTGCACTCACAGAGAAGCCGGTGGTGGGTGGACCCATGGGGGGGGCAGAGAGGACGGGGCCCAGATGGGCAGCAGGGGCTGCAGACGGGGGGGTGAAGGGGGCACTGGGGCTGGAGTACGGGCCACTCAGACCCAGAGGAGACGACACCGGGCCGAGAGAGAGAGGCGGGGGGGGCAGTGAGGAGGGAACAGGGCTGGAGAACCCCCCCAGGGGAAAGGCTGAGCTGCTAGAGGGAACAGGGCTGGTAAACCCCCCCGGGGCAAATGCTGAGTTGCTGGAGGGAACAGGGCTGGTAAACCCCCCTGGGGCAAATGCTGAGTTGCTGGAGGGAACAGGGCTGGACCCCACCCCCGGGGAAAACGCTGAGATGCTGGAGGGGCTGGAGATGGTTGGAGGGCCGGAAACACCTGAACAAAAGAAGAGACACGCTCAAATAAATGGATGAACTATCAATAGATGATGAAAAGCATTATCAGTGCATAATGGGAATATTAAATGACATAATATGGCGTTTAGTGACATAATATGGCGTTCAGTGACATCACCATGATGATCAGTGTGGGTGGGGTTAATGAGGTAGCAGTGACATCATCATCATGATGATCAGTGTGGGTGGGATTAATGAGAGTGCAGTGATATCATCATGATGATCAGTGAGGGTGAGGTTAATGAGAGAGCAGCGCAGTGAGAGGATTGCTCCCGTCTTCTCGATTTCTCCTGTCTGCCTTGCTGCTCTGCTGAGCTCTGCTGGGTTGCATCTGTAGCTTCGTATATTTTTCTGTTTTGAATCATTATTTACTGTAGGGTCTGGACCCATAATTATTCATTATATACAAAGGTTTATGAAACTCCAAATCTAACATCCCAAAGAAAACGAACACTAGGGCTGAAACAGTGTCATGTTACAGGACTGATAAGGAGGTTTTACGACCACATTCCTTTGGAAGAGAGTGCATGTGCAAGAGAGAGACAATGGGAAGACAGAAACTTTCTTTAATACAGACTTTGCTGCATTAATCATAGACAAACATGCATCATAGCATTGTGTAAATGATTTACTGTCTTGTGTACTATTATGTATACATTATGGTAAGTACCTTGGTATACAACCAACTAACGATCAATGTAACCTCACCTGTATCATGCCTCCTACCTAATTAATCCTCATTTAATGACTCACACTTTGATGTACATCACCTTCTTCTAGAATGCAGTGTGGATGTGTTCTCTCTATCTGAGCATTAACCCTCAAACTAAAGGCCCGTACACACCGGGACGAATATCAGCGCGCGTTATTCGTCAGCGTTTTTCAACGCGTTTTTTGTGTTCACACCCAAGCGTTTTTTGCTGACGATGAGCTGAGTGAACATGCAAATTCATTCCCTGACATTAGTTGGCGCTTAATGTAAAACAGAAATAATAATAGAATATACTAGGGTGATCATATTCATGTCTCAATGTTTTATTATGACGAAAAAACGAATGAAATAATGATAGAAATAATGTGTTCTGTATTAGAAAAATAAATATATAAATAATAAATAACTAAATGCCTCCAAATGTAAGAAAAAATAGCTCTCACAAACTTACAAAAACGAACTAACAAAATCTATTTATATCTTTAGTTTTCATCCTCTTTATCCTGTTTTTCTTCCTCATCCACCTTGTTTGTCCATCTATATTTTGCTGTAGAACTGATCTTTCCCAGCAGTTTTTTTTGAAAACCAGGACATTTTCATCACTTAAAAACAGCCAGGACAGGACGTGGAAACAGGACATGTGTAACGCAAAGTTGAGATGTTGCCCAGGGATAAAAACATAGCACTAGTTGTCGGAAGAACAGATGCACGAGAGACGAGAGTTGTCGTATTTCCCCGTAAACCAAAAAAACGAACCCGAGGCGTTTTTTTTAAAAATGACGCTTTTACGCGTGGCATTTTTCGCGTCGGTGTAAAAACACTCACATTGGCGCCCATTGTTTAGTCACGAGGCGTTAAACGTCGACGAATATCGCGCGCGAAATTCGTCCCGGTTGTGAACAGACCTTAAGGTGTTTCTGGAGTCCTTGAGATGTTTTGACATGCTGTGACATTTGTGCTTTTTTCAGTTGCTTATAAACATATTAATGGCACAGGTGAAATTACACTCTATTTAGCACAAACAGGGCTACCATAACATGTGAGCAACATGTACTGTATGTACATGTTTATGTTTTTGAGAGAATATGGTTTATTGAAAAAACTAAAACTGAAAGTTTCTGAAATAAGGCCATACTAAATATGCGTCCACAACACTTTTGACAAATGGATGTTGTGGCTGTAAGATGGGAAAACTGGAACTGGTTGATATAATCAGTCTGACCACTGTCTTCTGAAGACAAAAGGACCTTGCTTGAACACACCCACTCTTGCAGAGGAAACTCACACAAGAATATATATATGGTCTTAATGTGAATGTGATAATCTTTAATGAGTATTTAGAATCATTTTGAAAGTCCCAGGGTGACAGGTAATAATGTCTCATTTCCAAAGTAATAAAAGAAAAGGTAATAAGGTTTTTAAGAATATAGAAATATCTTGCACAAAGAAGGATGTGTCTTTTGACTTCACACATCTGGCCCTTTTGTCTGAATGCAACTTACAACCAAGCAAATGGTCTGCCCCCAATAAACATGGTAGGGGGATTTAGTAACTTTCCATTGTAACCTGGTGATTAACATATCAGATAAGGTCTGATATGGCTCCTGGCTCTATTTAAAGGGGTGATAAACTGAGAAATCAAATTTTCCTTGAGCTTTTGACATCTAAGAGGTCATCATATTATAAGAATTAGGGGTGTGACGATAACCGCATCACCGCGATATCGAGTTAATGAGATGCCTACCGCGGTGTGAGGTTCATAACCGCACTTTTTTTTTCTGCTGAAAGTTACCGGAGTGCAAATGATGTGTGATATGAACAATAAAAACATTAATCTTTGCTTATAATTTATTGTATTCAGCGAGTCCTTTGTTCAAGGGCTTCTGGAGAGAGAAAAAAAAACGCTTTTCTGCGCAAGGGAGGGACAGTCCATATGGGGGGGGGGGGTATTTTTTGTGTGTCTGATTATTAGTATAACTGTTTGGTGTCAGTCCTTGGGATGTTTACAGATAATGTTTAATTAAATACACACAAACACAAGCATAAAAGACAAAAGCATAACATAAACAGTTGGAGTTTGATTTTAATTGCATGCGATACTTCTCTTATGTGGTATAGCCTAGTCAGGCAGTTGACAGCAGCCCGCAGCCGAAAGACGTTATTCAAAAAAATGGCCGCGAATCTGGTGTCTAAGCCAAATACTGTGTCGCCTATTTGGGCACATTTTGGCTTTGAAGCAGGTGAAAAGGGCCAGCCGGTGAATTTAGACGAGGCAGTATGCCGTATTTGTCGCAAAAAAATATCCGTCTCGCGAGGAAATACTACTAATTTAAGATCCCATCTGAGAATTAACCACCCTGCCGCGTTTGCTGGACTTGGGTGCAGCACACCTACAACCTCAGGCCAGCAACGACAGTTGGGAGTCTCCGAGGCCTTCGCGAGAGGTGCCAAATACCAAAGAGGCAGCGATCAGTGGCGAGTACTTACTGACAGCGTTACACGTTATTTGGTTGAAGAAATGGTACCATTTCGTACGGTTGAGAAGTCAGCGTTTAAAGCCATGCTACAGGCATTTGATAAGCAATATGTACTTCCCGACCGAAAATACTTTTCTCAAACAGCTATCCCAGAAAAGTATCTGTCCGTGAAGGACGGCATAATACAGGATTTAAAAGACGTTGATAATTTCTCAGTGACAACTGATATGTGGTCGAGCGTAAATATGATGCCATATATGAGCCTGACCATACACTATCTCAACGCTAACTGGGACCTACAATCAAAGTGCCTGGAGACCGTGTTCACGCCAGAAAGCCACACGGGTGAAAACCTGGCGGAAGCTCTCAGGTCTTCCTTCCATGAGTGGTCCCTGGACGAGAGGAAACTGGTCTGTATTACCACAGACAATGGGGCAAATATTGTGGCTGCAGTGCGCAAACTTGGCTGGACATGGCTAAATTGCTTTGGCCATAATCTGCATTTAGCCGTCACCAATGCACTGAAGGCAGAAAAGGACCGCACTGCCCGAGCCATGGGTGTGTGCAGGACATTGGTGACGACTTTCTCGGAGAGCTGGCAAAAGAAGAAAAAGCTGCAGAAAGAACAAGTCGAGCTCAATCTGCCCCAACACTGCTTAGTTCTGGTTAGTTGTGCTAAAGTCGATTCTTATTTCTTTAGACGTTGTTTTTCAGGCATAAGTCCGTGGATGTAAATGCACTCATCCAAATGCAACTTGTTGAAACTTTTAATAATTTATTCTACAAAATAATGGGTTGCAAACGATGACAAAACCTGTTCCATAATTCCTATTAAACCCAAAAGATATCGAAACAAATAACAGAATTATATAAATAAATGGTATTTCATATTATTGTTAATATGTTGTTTATGATGTAATAATTATAATTTTTCAAAGGGAATACAAAATAACGAAATCTAAAATCCTGTAAATAAACTGGGCAAAATTTATGGAAACGCCAATCAATGCTCTGAATTTCTGCTGCCCATTTTCATTATCAAGATAAGATACGATTTTATTGATCCCGAGCTGGAGAAATTCGCTTGTTATAACAGCATACGGAGCCTTGCACATTGTGCAAAAAAAAAAAAAAAAAAAACATATCTAGCCTATTAATTCGTTCCCTCATTTTATAAATCATGCGCACAATTTACTATTTCGTTTCCTCGATTTGCAAAATTATTTACTAATTGTTCCCTCTATTTAGGCTATATAAATCGTGTGTACGATTTAGCCATTTTTTCTAATGTGCGGAGCTCCATAACATTAAACACAACAGATGGCAAAAATACACATATAAATAGTGGCACGATGTATAAATAAATATTTTTATTGCACAGGACAAAAAAAAAAAAAAATCATAGCCTAATTTGGGTATTAATTTTTCTTATGTATTCACAGGATTGTCCTACCAGGTGGGGCACTAAGCAGAAAATGGTTGCGCGCGCTCTCGAGCAACTCCCAGCCATTAGGAGGGTGTTGATGGATGACCGGCGCAGCCAGCATTTGATACCGACGTGGCAGGACATCGAAGTCCTTGAATCCGTTAATCCAGCGCTGAAGAAGGTCGCAGATTTTACAGATGCGCTGTCTTCCGAGAAGACAGTTACAGCGTCCTCTGTTAAACCAGTCCTACAGTTATTAACCGAGGATAGTTTGCTCCCAACTGATGAAGACACGGAATTGACGCGCAACCTGAAAAGAAAAATGGTTGGGGTCTTGAAAGACTAAATATAGTGCGCCTGCAACA